GGAAGGAAGGAAGGAAGGAAGGAAGGAAGGAAGGAAGGAAGGAAGGAAGGAAGGAAGGAGACGTTTTGTAATTCAGCATTGGCAGAGAACACTGTTACAGCAAAAGCCCTCCCCACCCCCAGATAGATCAGACCAAATCCACTCTACAGAAAAGCTAAAACTACTTTTATTGAGAGTGGCTCTAATAGCAGACTCTTGCAAGTCTGACTGAAAATCCATAAATATACAGATAAATTATGTTCCTCCTCCTCCTCCTCCTCCTCCTCCTCCTCCTCCTCCTCCTCCTCCTCCTCCTCCTCCTCCTCCCAATGAAGTGAATTTCAGAGGGATCTCCCTGAGTGACCTCCAAATATCATTGGAATGACGGGAGCAAATCGTGAAGTTCAATCGCATGCTTGTGGTAGAATTAGGGGAGCTAGAAGTTCCATAGCCTGCTTCCAAGTAATGCACCCATCGAAAGCACAACTCCAAGGCAGGTAGATTCCTCAAAGATCACCTCCGGAGTCTTAAAGTTGCTAAGGGTTGGACACTCTTGTTTTAGAGGAGTGGGTCTCCAAACTTGGCCACTTTAAGACTCGTTGGACTTCGGTTCCCAGAATTCTCCAGCCAGCCGTGTCTGTTACTTTTTTTCTCTTAACCTCCTAAAGTGGAGAGAGAGATTGCAGAGGAAGGGATCACAAGAGAGTAAGCTATGCTGGCTGGGGGATTCTGGGAGTTGAAGTCCACAAAGTCTTAAAAGTGGCCAAGTGGGGAAACCTCTGTTTTAGAGGATGGACTCTCTTGGCTCACAGACTCTTCTCTTGAGCATTGCTTAATTCTCTTCTTACGTTGCTTAATTACAGACCAAACTCGTCATGGAGGCCATCAAGAAGGACCAAGAAGGTGATATGGCCAGCGCCCTTTCACTCTACTCCAAAGCTCTGGAGTACTTTGTTCCTGCCTTACGCTGTGAGTAGGCCAGTTGCTCTTTGCTTTTCCCTTCCTTCTTTCCTCTAGAGTGAGCCAACCCCGCCTGAGTAAAAACAAAATGCTCCAGAGGGCAGGACAAGGAATAATGGGTGGAAACTTAGAGAAAAGAAAAAGAAAAAAAGATCCAACCTAGAATTATGGACAAACTAGCTTGGATACCCATGCTTCACTACCAAACTATGCGGTCGGGCTTAGTTTTTGTGGAGAAAAATAAAGGGAGGAAAAATTCTGCCTCTGCCTACCAGCATCCATCAGTATTCATCTGGATAGCATCCGGTCAGTGTGTGAAACAGTTGAGGGCTGTTTGGAAACTGAAGCAGTCTTTGCTGTGTGAACAAGAAGGAGACAGCAAGGAGCCTGGGCGTGGCTTAGCTCAACTGTTCTGTACTAAAGCTGCTTGGTGCTCTGAAACTGAAACTCCTCTGCTTGTGTTTTGCATCTGGAACAGATTTCTTTTCAGTTGGGGAGGGGGAGTAGAACTCCTTAGCATCACGACGGGCAGTTTCCGTTACGGTCGCAAGTCGAGGATGGTAGACTCCGTTGATTTTGCCTCTCTGTGTAATGCCCAGCCTTAACCCTGCTCCCTTCCTCGTCCCTCTCGTTGCCTCCAGATGAACGGGATGCCCAACGGAAGGAAGCTATCCGATCCAAGGTTAGTCCATTTTCCAACTGACCCGATGGCTCAATTTTCAGGCCAGCTTTTCGGGAAGGTGAAAATGCTCCTTTGCAAGCCAACTAAAAAAGTCAACTAAAAAATTACTTCTTTGGTCTTTTTAGTTGTCAGCAGAAAGGGGGGGGGGGGAAGCAGTGCATTCCTTAAATGCTTCAGATAATTGTTAGGCAGCCAAAGCTGTTGGCACGCAAGACTATTACTGGAGAGCAAGATTGATGACTCTTGGCTATGGATGTGTCCCATTGGAGAATATATGTACATCCAGCGGGTCATGGGTGAAATGAATGGTGTGTCTTAAGAGTTGACTGCACCCAGGTAACACCGACATGGTTATTCCTAAGAAATCGATTTTTTTTACTCTGGGACATACGGCTAGAGACTTATGATTTGAATGGGGGTGCAAGTTGAAGTCCTGGCACTAGATTAGACAAGGATTTCTGCCTTAGGCAGGGAAGGTAGATGGGACCCACTGATATTGTTTTTTTCCCAATAGGCTTACTCATGAGAAGTCATGTGTAAAAAAACAAACTTGAAAGCAAGCAGAAAAGTAGGACCGGTAAAATAAATTTTAGTGCCAGGCAACTCCTAATCAATATGAGCTGGTTTGTGATCTTGGTAGGCACACCAATATTCATAAATTTCATTTTTTGAAATATATATTATATATACATTTATATACTCCTTGATAAAGGAGCTCCCTTGGGGACAAAATATGGCAAAATGGTCCATATTTATCCAGGCAAAACGGTCAGAATTCAATCCAGCTGGGAATAAATTGGAGCAACCATATTCCCTAATTCCTGGTCGGCTTTTAGCGGTCCGTAAATCCAAGTTTCTCAACCTTGAGAGCTTTAAGACAGGTTGACTTCAGCTCACACAATTCCTCAGAAGCCAGACGTATGGAAAAAACAAAACAACAACCTGGTTTTATAACCATGTTTTGAAGTTGTCAAGGTGCTGGTTAAGGGAATTCTGGGAGTTGAAGTCCACCTGTCTTAAAAGTTGCCAAGGTTGAGAAACACGGAGTTCCATTGCAGTTTGCCAATGCGTAAATCTCAGAAATAATCTATGTATCGGCAATATTTTACACCGAGCGCCCTTTGGCTGTTCTGATTAAAACCAATTTGTTGATTTATTTTTGAGAAAAAGAAAGAGGGCACTTTTAATTTGCAAAGCACCTAAAAATAAAAGGTAAAAGGTTCCCCTCGCACCTATGTGCCAGTCATTTCTGGCTCTAGGGGACAGTGCTCAAATCTGTTCCAAAGCCGAAGAAGAGCCAGCGCTGTCCGAAGACGTCTCCGTGGTCATGTGTCCGGCAGGACTAAATGCTGCTGAAGGCGCACGGAACACTGTTCCCTTCCCACCAAAGGTGGTCCCTATTTTTCTACTTGCATTTTTACGTGCTTTTGAACTGCTAGGTTGGCAGAAGCTGGGACAAGGAACGGGAGCTCACTCCGTTATGCGGCGCTAGGGATTCGAACCGCCGAACTGCCGACCTTTCTGATCGACAAGCTCAGCGTCTTAGCCGCTGAGCCACTGCGTCCCAACGCAAGGCGCCTACTTTGCCGTAACTTCTTCTTTTTTTAACCTTCTGCTTCTGCATCCTAGTGAGTATCAGGTGAGGCTGTGTCCTCCCACTTTTAAGCCCGACGTTTCGTGTTTATGTCCTCTTGCCCAGGTGAGCGATTACATTTCTCGTGCCGAGCAACTCAAGGCACTGGTGGCGTCCGACAACAAAACCCTTTTGCAAAAAGGCTGCCCTGGACGGGACATTTTAAAAGGTAAATTTCTAAAGGAGGGGAAAATTTCTGGATGAGGTAGCATCATCAAAACCTTTTGCTTGAAACAGTGTCTTGTTGATAAGATGTAAATCAGGGTCTCCAATCTTGGCAACTCGAACTTGTGGACTTCAACTCCCAGAATTCCCGAGCGCTGGGGCATTCTGGGAGTTGAAGTTCATAAAGACTTAAATTTTGGCTAAGGCATTCCGGAAGTTGAAGTCCACAAGTCTTTTAAAGTTAGCTGGGGAATTCTGGGAATT